CAGACGCCATCTTGGCCACAACGGCGCCAATTACTATGGTGTCCAGCAGACAGCTAAACACGTCTTGAGCTGTCACCACAATAATGGCCACTATGCAGTTCTCCGACATCCCCCTGAAGCCGTAGCCGATGGTTGCCTGGGTTTCAACTGAAAACAGGAAGGCCGAGGTGAAGCCATGCACGTTGTACACACACGGTTCATTGTCTACTTCCTGCGTATCTCCGTGCACGTACGCAATGAGCCAGAAACAGAGGCCGAAAAAGAGCCAAGAGAGGACGTAGGAGAGGCAAAATATGAGGAGCATCACCCTCCAGCGTATTTCCACCAGGGTGGTGAAGATGTCCGTCAAGTATGAACTCCAGTCTCCAGGAACCTGGTGGAAAACCACAGGGAACCTGCCGTCTCTCTGCATGTAGCGGAGACGCCCGTCCTCCTTTCCATTTGTCCCACTCAGGTTGTGGACGGTGGTGCAGCTGGTGTCGACGACGACCTGCTCACAACTTTGTGTGCTCATTTCGACCGGGGTCAGAGGTCAGTGATGTGAAACTGTGAGACAGAAGATACAGATTATCATCACAGATGCATTTGAAGCTGTGGGTGACTTGTGTGGCCTCAAAACAAGACATGAGCTTTAGAAAGAGATCCTGCTGATGCTTTATGGCGAATTTAAACAATTTATTTAGTGTTTCTTCGCTACGTTGCAGCCCAACAACAATTGTGAAAACTCACACACATCATCTTTTAGACACGTGAGAAAATGTGTAATTGTCTGAAGGACCAGGATTGAACTCTGGATGAGACCAACACTACATATCTGCAAATATATATATATATATCTGCTTTGAATTGTGGAGGTTTGTCCTGCTTTAGTGCTCTTTCTAGGAACAGTGCACGGTCAGGTCAACACACGATAACTGACAGCTGAGGTTATCTATGACCATGTGGAGCCCTGTTTTTGAAGTTAACACGTCCACTGGAAGATGGATTAGCATTTTGCTAATTCTACGTGACAGAGTGTTAAACAGTTCTCAGCTGTCTGAGCTAACAGTCAGGGTCACGCTGAGCCTCAGGGTGTCATCCTCCAGCAGCTGCCATCGCTGGCTGCAGGACTACAACTCCCTTCTGGTTGATCATTTACCAGAATGTTCTATGCAGTCGGACACTGTCCAAATCAGTGTTGCCCTCAGTAAAAACCATTTCCTCTTTATCTCTTGGTGTCACAGAGTTCCACCTGTTTATAATAAAACAAGTCCAGGTCTGACTTTCAGATGATGATTAACATTCATTTTATTGAAATTTACTGATAATCTAAAGATCGTGAACGCACCCACAGATGAGATGCATTTATATAGTTTTACCGCAGACCATAAACAATTAGCTGGTCATATCTGCTGAGTCAGCATATAGGCTCCTGATCAGAGTGTGTGGCCCACGTATGACACTCGTTTTTACTCTGCTTTAATTCCTTTTCCCATTGTGTGATTAAAATAAAGCAGAGTAAATATTTTCACAAAGACTTCAAAGATCTCATATCTCTCATGTACAGAAAATAATAGCTTACAGAGACATCCCTCTGGTAAACACAACGACCAACAATTATTACCAAAACAGAGTTAAACTGCCTAGGAAAACATGCAAAATGTCCACTTCTAGATTATTTTTTTAGCAAAGTCTCATGCAAAACACGCTTTGTGCTTTTTAAAAAAGCCCATACTTCATATATTTGAAAGTTTTTAATGCAGTTTAAATATATTATTATTATTATGACAGAAAACTTGGTTTGTCAATTTTAATTGTTTCAATAGGTGTCACATGTTGGATTTTATATATATAAATATTTATGTAATATTTAAAAGATTTTTTTTACCTTAAATACCTGTTAAGACACGTGAATTTGAGTTATTTGTGTTATGGATACGTGAAGTTTGTCTTCACACCTCAGGCGTGTTATATGTTAAGAAGAAATTCCATCATACTTGACTTTGCTCTTGTATTGATCTCTGAAGTATTTGTAGGTTGAGCCATGTCGTCAGAAAAGGCTCTAAATCAGATCAGGTTAAACAAACATAGATTTAAAATAAAACCATTTAAAAACACATGAAAAGTTATTGCTATCAATCTCTTCATTCTAAGTTCACAGTGTGTTTCCTGGTTCATTAGGCACAAGCTCAGCAGTGTGTTCTGGATTATAAATCTTTTTTTTTGTCCCCGCCGTGTAAATAATTATCGTCCAACCTGGTCTGTGACAGCGTTCACCTCCAAACGTTACTGCGTATGTCAAACTTTAACCACGTGTCACATTGCTCTCGACAGCACATGACGTACACTACAGTCAGAACAGTTTTCCAAAACACTTTCTGATTCTTTGAAGTGTTATCTTAATGGTCATTAATGAAACACTTCTTATCCAGTTACTGTTGGAGCTGCAGATGTTCTCAGTGATCCATGACTGCTCCTACTTCCTTGCTGGAAAGATTTTGAGCTTTTATGACTTAATTATATCACGTGGTTGTTGTTTTCGATCCTTCAGTCTGTGATGACTGACTTCTGCAGCGCCATTTTTACAACCTTGATTTTATTGTCGGGGAGGGCACGCCGTTTCACTTGTTTTTACAAAGGCGTCAAAAACAAGATCCATAAAAAGGTATTTATATTTTATTATTGTTCCATTGAAATTCTGCAGCAGTGGAAGAACAGACGGCTCCACTGCACTTCCACCTATTTAACAACATATTTTTCATATATAGGTTCTTGTGTTATCTTTGGGGTCATTCTGACCCAAAGTATTGGCCCTCAGATCAAGGCAAGTTCAATTTGTATTACCCCAAGGACATTCTTTTTATTTATATATTTTGCTTAAAAGTTTGAAATACAGGTAAAAAAATACCCTGCTAATGGTTACACATACACACACACGCACACACACACACACACACAGGTGACCCTGCCTCAGGTCATAGGAAATGACTGAACCAGGTCACTGAGGTCCTGCAAGAATGTTGATTTGAACTTTTCAGATTTAGTCTGTTTTCCTGACTATTACAACAGAAATATAGAAAAGTACTGCCACCACTGCCCAACACAACTAAATGTGACCTCTGATTTAACCCATCATCAAAGTGAACAGTGGGCAGCTTTAAGCGCCCGGGGAGCAGTGTGTGGGGACGGTGCCATGCTCCGCTTCCAAGTCCGCTTCCTTAACCACTAAGCCACTACTGCCCCGATTTATACGACTCCTATAAGTAACTCAGTAAATCATTGGACGATTATTTTAAAATATAATATAATACTAATCCTGCTTGAGACTTCTATTCTATCTATATGTTCACATCTATACATATATTATATATTTATACATATATGTATAAATATGTTTATATATTGGATATATATATTTATATTTTTATAATTTCCTTGCTTGCTTAGTTCTTTTCTTAAAATATACACAAAATAAACTACTTACAATGTCAAATCCAATCACTAAAATCTCACAGAAAGCTAATATATAAATAGATAGACAGACAGACAGACAGACAGACAGACAGATAGATAGATAGATAGATATCATAAGGATCCACTTACCTTAATGTTAGGATATCAGCAGTGGCTCAAGCCCATTGGTTGGACCAGACATTCTTCTGAATAACCTCTGTCTTCACTCGGTCGCCCAGCTTTGTGTTTGACTTGGTTCGGAGGCAAAGTCTCATTTTGTTCTGATATTCCAGCAATCACCACTCTGTGAAATGCCATTGGACAACCAGCAAGAATTTATGACCTGTGGAGTATTTTTCCTCTGCTAGTTTCAGGTGATGAACCAACACTTCAAGCAGTCGTCCAACAGCAATAAGAGGCCGTGGCGTTCTGGTTCTGTGACAGATTTTCAATTTTAAGGCTTTATTTATTAGACAAAAGGTTGACCTTTGCCCCAGTGAGTAGATATGCTGTCATTGGCAGAGGGATTTCAGACGTCTTAATGATCCACACTTTGGTTCTGATAAGACAAAAAAGATCACAACTCTGCCGCCTTGACACACTAACTTTTAAAACGGCCTTTATTACGGCCATAAGAGCATCCGAAGCAGTTAGAGAGAGGTTGACAGCACCACACATATCTGCTGTTTTGATGTTTTTGGCTTGTCTTCTCATTGACACCTGCTGTGATTCAAAAGGTATTGTTTCCCCAGATCATGAAAGCAGAGATAAGAGACATTCCAATGAGCGATAACCAGAGGAACAGAACATTGACAGCCATATAAGAAATGAGGGGAAACAGTACTAATGTCAGTGGGTTCATAATAAATAAAGAAACATTGACATTTAAAGTCATTCAAAGTCAAGGTCACAGTCTTTATAATATAAGTTAGGGGGAAAAAAAGAAAAAGGCTGCATCTGTGTAGCTACAAGCTACAAGCTACACCCTATCTTGTTAGCTGGTACAACCAACCTGGATATTAATTTCAATAATAGTGAATAACAAGTAAACCTGGGGCTGTTATTTAGGTTAATTATTAATCAGAGTTTTTTCTTTTACACATTTTTAGTATACGTTTAGTATATACGAATGGCTGGACCACCTGTCACCAAGCTAACGCCAAACAGGCTGCAGCTTGTCTACAGACATTACTGCCAACTCCTTATCTCAGGTATTTAATTTTAGTAAATTTCAAGGTTACAAATGTATATACATTTTCAACTGATAAACGTTTTGTCGTTAATTACTACCAGTCCAAAAAAACAAACAAAAAAAAAGTTTGCTTTTTTTTTAAATTCTACGCAGTGTTTCCATTGAGAAGATCTGTCCCTGACCTGAACAAACAAGATCTCATTATGTCATACCACATGGTTGTGGGTAGATGCTGGTAGACGATAAGCCCAGTTCAAAGAGTTGGTTTAAATGAATGGAGCCATAAATGACAACAACACCTGAGCTCACAGAGCCGGAGCACGTCAGGAAATACCTGCTCCTCCTGATCTCCTAATGATTATTGTCTAATTGTTGAATAATTATTGTCTTTTTGGTCCCATTCTCCTTTCAGAGCCACGCAGCCATTGTCATTGTATTGCAGTGGACACAAAGAACGCCGCGAGGGAAAAGGAGCGGCTCCAGACGGAGTGCTTGCACCTTTGTTGTCACTGTTTACATGCTGGATTCGCCGAGGATCGTTTTTAAATACTAACAGCAATTAATCATGCAAGGGTTTTCTTACACACACTATTGTGGACTGTGCCTTTGTTGACCGTCCGTGGACCATAGCACGTTGTGAATGTAGCCTATTTAAATGTCATGTCAGATGCTGAAGGATGAGAAGAGCTCCTGTAGTCAATAGTGTGATTACCTGCAGTAATGGCTTCGCTAACAGTTTTCAACCACAGTCTAAAGAACTGTGTCCTTTGGTTTGTGTTGACTGGTAAGATGACATTTTAATTAATTGTTTGGTTTTTTTTTAATGTTCAGAACTATGTTTTATATTTTTCTCCCTTTTTTAGGGAGTGTTCTTCCTGCGTCCAGCTGCACCAGTCGGAGATGTCTGGCTGAGATGCTGATAAACAGAAATTATACATCACAGCCGCAGTATGAAAACTGCACCCACATCATTAAGGTGCCTCTGGTGGAGTACCAGACTCTGTCAGTTGTGAGTTCTGCATTATATTAAACTGTGAATTGCCATCTGTTGTATCTTTAATCAGATGTAAAGATGAAAAGACCTTTCTGCATTCTCATCTTCTAACCAAACTTCCTTAACATGTGAATTTAAGTCTTTTTCACCTATTATTCACCAGGACACAAGAAATCTCCTCTTGAATAGTCGACTGCAGGCGACACTTGTAAGTTTCCAGACACAAAGTTATTACAAAAAAAAAAAAAATGACCAAAAAAAAAAAAAGAAATTGAAATTTACACCACAGATGTGGACAGACCCTGGTTTGACATGGAACACATCCGTGTACCATTACGATCAAGTCGTCCTGCCCGTAGAAAAAGTCTGGACCCCAGAGATCCACGTGACCAACGGGTGAGTCTGAAAAAAAAAAAACAACTAATATTACAGTGGGGTTTTTTTTACTGCTGTTGATGAATCTGTTTTCTTTGATGTGATTAGAATACGGACCAGAATGCATCAGTACTCCAATGATCTGCTGCTGTTCAGTAATGGAACGCTGGTCCACACAGTGATCATTATGGCTGAGGTGAACTGTGAAGTCAATCTGTTCAACTATCCCTTTGCCGAGGATGCGTGTCCTGTTGCCATTCAAACCTGGGCTGTTGCAGGTTAGTTCAAAGAATCACAAAAATGAAGCAAATGTTAAATACAACCTTTTACTGATGCCGGTTTATTTTCTATTATATGATTTATTCCATATTCAGAGCTAAACTCATGGACCCTTTTAATATATGTTGTAATATTTATATTATGTGCTTTATTTGTATGTCATGGTGGTTGTTTTTTCTAAAATAACTTAAGATGTTATTTGATGTTTTGATCATAATTCATAATAAAATATGATGTTAATAGGTGTTAGTTCAATAAATCTAAAATGTAATTTGTCAGATTTTTTGGGGCCTGTACTGTATTTATTGCATGTTAATATATGTTTGTTTATGAATCCAAAACTCGAATATGAGTAAATGATCATTTCCCTCCGCAGGCTGTGGAACGTCCCTGAGACTGGGTAATCTCAAGATGATTGACAGCTCCCACGGAGACTGGGAGACCCTGGGGGTGTCCTTCGAGAAACAGAGTGAAGATCAGAATTACATCTGGGTCAGTGCTGTTACACAGGGTGAAGTTATTTGTAGATATTGCCAATTAAATAAAGAAGAATCTGAATCTTTTCCTTTTGCTCAGGTGTTGCTGAGAATAAAACATTTCAACCCCTTCATCACATTGATGTTTCCCACCATTCTGATCGTCCTGGCTGACGTGGTCAGCTTCTCCCTGCCTCTGGGAGGAGGTGAACGCAACACCTTCAAGGTCACGCTGGTCCTCAGCCACACCATGCTCCTCACCATCCTGAACGAGAAACTCCCTGGAGACAGCCAGTGTAGCCCCATCATCAGTTAGGAAACTTGTGCCTACAATTAAAACCAAAGACGGCTACAAATAGAAAGTGTCTAACAGCGTGTCTCCTCCGCAGGACTGCATTTCTGTATTTGTTTGGTGCTGCTGTTTCTGAGCATGCTGGTGTCGTTGGTGCTGACACGAGTGGCCAAAGAGGGCAGTATCATCTTCTGCTGCTGCCCCAAAAAGAATGCGACAAAGTCCACAGGGAACAAGAAAGAGGACACAGGTAAGGAGTAGAAGTAAAAGTAAAAAGTAAATTCTAAAATGACAGTAATTAGAAATCAAATTCAGCTCATCTTGTGTCAGGCATTGACATTATTTGTTGAAATAAAACACTAAATTTTATTTTTTATTGAATATTTTGTTCTTGTTATTGCATAAATCCCACAGAAGCCAAAGGTGACATCAGTGTTATCAAGTTAAATGGTCCAGAGGAAGAAAATCAAATGCTTCAAAGAGTGGTGAAAATCCTCCAAAGCTTTGAAAACAAGGAATTAGAAAATGAAAAATATCAGAATCGGGCCAATGCAATTGACAAGGCCTTTTTCTGGTTGTATTTCGTCTGTAGCACTTTGTACTTCTGTTCCATGTTAACGGTGATGAGAACTTATGAATGCACAGTCAACCACTTTAATTTCTGGGACTAATGTCAATGCTACTTTCCTGTACTGTACCTGCAGATGCTCTTCTATTCTGTTGTGTGTTAAAATTATAGAAATAATAAAAGCTAAATGTAATTGTGGAATCAATAAATCAAACTCTCTCACTGTGATTGAAACCATGAATATTTAACAACAAAATCATTTAGTAGATGTTTTTGTTGTCTTTAATATTCTTTGTTAGGAAACCCTACAGTGCAGTTTTGTAATGAACACAAACAAGCAGTTATGGTAACATTTTAAAACTGGTAAAATTCTGCGAAAATTAAAGTAACAATTTAACAAACATATCCATGGTTGTGAAAGGCTGTCATTGGTAAAGAAATATTTGAACACAGACCTTTGCACGCGTTGTGATGGCACCCGTGATCAGTCTTTGAATGTACTCTGCCTCCATCTAGTGGTTGACTGGTCTACTGTTTCACGGCTGATACACAAACCATCTCCGAGCCTTCTTTCAATACACTCTGTCATCGTTTGTCCTAATAATTGTCCTTCAGAATTTTCTTCAAAATCGTCATAGTCGTTAGAACATGTTGACCTGTGTGTCTACATGGCATAAGTTTTGCTCTCACTTCCCTGTTCCACATACACTACGCCAGCATAGCACATCTCACTGGTGTCTTGTAAACCTTTGCTTAATTCTAACTGCTTGTACCATCCAACTCTTGTCGTCCACCCTGCTCCCTCTCTCCTGTTATACAAATACACACAGCAGCTCCACAGTCTCATTATAAAGAGTAGCACTTTATTGCACCTACTGTAACAGAACAAGAACACAGAGCAGTAGCAGACCATTACCTTATACACAAAAATATTTGCACTATCAAAACATACACTGCTCCTAGAGAGTTCTGAAGGTCTACCACTCAGATTTGGTTCAAACGGACTCACATCCCATACAAAATCTGTTTAATACTCACATCCAATGTCTTCACCATGCATTTAAACATTTCAACTTCAAGACAAAAGGAGTAATTACCCAGAATATATCCCTTCATGTATGACCTCAAAGTCCAAGTAAGTCAACCGGAAACACATTTGTATGTAAACCTCTTCACAAAAAATCAAATATGTATTTGTATATATTTTCCTTCATTCTGTCTGTGATAAATTCATAAATGTTTTGCCCACAATAACCTCTGATTACTCTTGTTTGTTATGTTCCTTGACAATAATAATACTACTACAATACTACTACTACTACTGCTACAATAATACAACTACATCACCCTCTGTGACCTCACCTATATCACACACGTAAACCCAGGTTTACAAACCAAGTTTAAGTATGGTACTTGTCAAGCACTTTCAAGCTTCGTTCAGACGGCTGCCTTTTCATGTTGTACAGTGTGTATTTTCTCCACACGTGCACTCCAGCTTTACTCAGGCAATAGCATATGAAAAGGACAAAATAACTAGCCAACGTAGTGTTTTGTAATAAAAGTAGAACTAAAACTAAAGTACACAGGTTTTTAGGTTTCTAAATATGTGTTCTCTTTCTGAGTACTAAATTCTACAGTATGTGATTAACCTGGATTAACTTCAAATAAAAAACACACCAAGTCATTAAACCTCTTCAAATACAATACACAAATACCATTTGAATTAAAAGAGAAATGTTGGCACAAAGAACCAGGATAATATTGAAAATGAATATAATTTCATATAATCCGACCACCATTTCAACAGGAACAAAATAAATGCCCTGCTCTCCCAGTCCAGCTCCCATGACACGGGACGTGGTTTTTATTGATTCTCTTCAACTTCTGCACCTCTTCTCCTTAGTGCCTGTGATAAAGGGAACAATAATAAAAAACTGAAATGAAATCAAACGTTCTGTGTGTAAAACCAAGATAATGTGTATAAAGTTAGGAATACCTGTGTCAACATCTGGACACTGATGTAATTCTTTGCCATTGCCTTCAAGTTCGACTTCTCACCCATCTTGCATCGGACATAACCGTACAAGTTTGCAGACTGTAAAACCAGGCCCATCAACACAACAACCTGTGGGGAGAAGAGTAAAAAAATCCAAAGTGAACCCTGAATTAATTCTCACCGCTGTTTTCATAAATATATATATTTAATAGAGCATAGAACTGACAAGCCATTTAAACTTCAGGGAGAAGAAGGTGGTAAAAATCATAAAGATCCAGAAGATAGGGTACACAATAAGTCCAAGCCAGAAAATCCTTGACTCAGCACTGGATGTTTTGCGCTTCTGTAAATAAAAAAAAGCAGGAAATAGTACATTAGGTGCAGGTTACCAAATTAAACTCTCTCTTTTATCTGTGCTACCTATTTCCTACTTCTGATTATTTATGGCTAGCATCTGTTATCCCTGACGGCTCTTCTGTGTACCTTGTTTTGTTCAAACACCCAGTGACTCCTTCCACCTTCATCCACTTGATTCCACCATCTAAGGCCCACCAACAACCTTCCAGATATATTCTTTAAAAGAAGAAAGAAATGTAAACAAAAGTTTGAGATTCATAACAAAGCCAACACAAAGACACAACTTACAAAACAGAGCAAGGCAACAAAAGAAAAATATTATTATTTTTCCATTTAAAATATATAAAGATATATAAAATAAACCGTTTTTCTATTAATAAATTGGATTTGAATGACGCCTTGTATTCAGAACAGTAGTTCTCATCTTTTTTTCTGAAATAAGTTTTAATTTACATATTTTTGAATAATTGGTAAGAAATGATAAACGCAAATGCAAAACAAAAAGCTCGAACTTTATCAATCGCATTTTCATGTCTTAAACAATTGGTGAAAGACTCACTTTTACAGTCCAGAAATCACATGACAGCAGGAGGATAATGCTGACCATGCAGGCGATAAATCGACCGCTGATGACGTCACACAACAGGTAAACCAAAATGGCACTTGTTCGGAAGAAGAGGTGAAAGAATGAAGCCACAGGATGCCTGAAAACCAGATGACACTTTAATTCATTACCATTCATTTCTTAATCATTATCGAACAAGCAACATTCAGAGCGTTTGTCACCTAATTTTAGACTTTCTCCGCTTGTTTTCGTCATGTTCCTCACCAAAGAGAGGAGTTTCCTGAGATTCCTAAAAACATACGACGTGAGACGTGTTTCAGCAAGTTACGATGTGTACTTACAAACAACTAAATGTTTATATTTTAAAATATAAACTTATATATAATAATAATAATATAATAATATAATATAAAAAAAACTGTTTTCTCTGGACTGAAAGAATATCTAATCAGAAGTCGGTTACCTGTCGCAGCATATTCAACCTGGCCCAATACACGTCATGTACTTCCTGGTGACGTGGTTGTCAACAAAACCGTGTGCTCAGGGCCACAGAAGATGGTGGCCTCCCATGTGCCTGTTTAAAAAGGTAAAC